GTGACGTTGAGTAGGCCATGGTGTCTAAAAGGCTCGGGTAGGAGAGGGTGAAACCACCTCCTCATCTGCGCGTCGAGCGCCGACAGCTGAATTTGGTTCCCTTCTGTTACTAAATCAGTCCAGTAAAATATTTTTCATCGCTCTGTGGTTGTTTTAAAAAATCCATCAGACAAAACAGTTAGAATCATAGAATCACTAAGATTGGAAAAGTCCTCTAAGATCATCAAGTTCAACCATCAACCCAGCACCATCACGTCTGCTAAACCATGTCCTGAAATGCCACATACATGCATTTTTTGAACACCTCCAGGGATGGTGACTCCACCGCCTCCCTGGGCAGCCTGTTCCAGTGCCTGAGCACTCTTTCAGTAAAGAAATTTTTCCTAACATCCAATCTAAAACTTCCCTGGCACAACTTCAGGCCATTTCCTCTTGTCCTATCGCTACTTCCTTTGGAGAAGAGACCGACACCCACCTCGCTACAACCTCCTTTCAAGTAGCTGTGGAGAGCAATAAGGTGTCCCCCCAGCCTCCTCTGCTCCAGACTAAACAATAGGTTTCCTGGCCCTAGGTCCGTGTAGTACCATGTGTGCAGGTTGTAGTGATTAGGAAAAAATGTCTTTGCTAAGATGCTCTCCAAATGAAACACCCAACCCCAGGCATCAGTCCTTGCAAGGAGAGGATGGAGCTGTGTGGGTGAGTGCTACCGTCTTCATGCTGTAATGTTTAGCTAACACGTAAACTCTTTAACAAAGCTATTTTTTGCCGGAGAGCAATGATGACCTGTCCAAAAGGGAAATGCTACATGACTGTCTAGGCAGCTTGCATGCACACAAGTTAGGGGCCCAAGTGAGGATCTGATTAGGGGTGAAGGGATGCCTCCAACGGGAAATAAAGTAGTGCTTAAAATACCAGATAACTGATCTGGCAAACAATCATCAGTTGCTCCTAACTTTATAATAGTTTATAATTTTACAATATATATATATGTTTATAATGTTATAATAGTTTATTGTATATACTATGTTTATACTATGTATATACTACACTATCCCTTTGCCATGCCTTTAATTAGTGGTTTGAGTAAAATAATCCAGACTTTCTCAGTTGGCTTGAAGCACGTTTACTCTTCCACATCACATAAAGCTGATGCATGCAATATAGATGGGAGTGGGTGAAGAGAATAGCTGTCTGGCAAAATGAGGCAAAAAAGCTAGAATTCTCAGCGAAAAATCGTATTTAGTGATTTGGGGTTAAATTTGTTAATTTAAGCTGTCATGCTGTATTGACTTCAATACAATTGTTCTAATTACTATTTACTTTCCAGCAGATTTAATAACATCATAATATAAATTAAGGGGAGACTGTTACTCAAAAATTAGATTTTTTTTTTGTGATAGAGGGTGACACAGGGTACCACAGGTTCCCTGGTAAAACATGAGATAAACAAGAAACACTGTCATTAGTTGGGAGGTTGAAGATGAGTATGGGACACCTTATTTCAGGTACATGTACTTTAACCAGTGTGGATTCTGGTAAACCTTCTCAGCTGTATCTAGACTGATAGCCTATCTGCTCGCACAGCTATGGTCCATTCAGATTGGGGGTTTGGCTGGCATGCGCTGAAGATCTCTCCCCACGTAGGTGCCCAAGTTTTTCTCCTTCTTCCAGTTGGGATAGAAGTGAATTGTCACATTCTCACATAAAGAGGTAGCTGAAGTCTAATGTGGATGCAGAAGCCTAGTTCCTTGGGATTAGATGTAGTCTTTGTATCTTCGTTCCTTATCTGTCACATGGTGATTATAGCACTTTCCTACCTTGCAGGAGAGCTGTATTAATTGATTACCAGGCACGTTCTGCCATTGTATGGCAGAGGGTAGAATACTTGCTTGTTCTAATTGCAGGCTTCTCATAACATTAGACAAATAGTTTTTACTTGCATAGTTGGGGTGGAAATTTTAGGCACTTCCTACCATTTGTTAGGCCTGCCTACTACCCTCTTTGTCTTACATGTCATAGAAATTCATTACTCCCATTGCTTTCTTCATTCCTCCTCCTCATTTTGTAGGGGAACATAGACCATATCAGACAACTAAGTGAGCAGCTATACTATTGTTAGTAAACTGAATACGAGTATTTCAGTATACTTGAAGTTTGGTAGCAACAGTACAAAAGAAGCCTGTAGGTTGATTTTTTCCTCACATACTGATTTTGCGTAATTAGAACTCACATCGAAAACAAAGAAGTCTGTAAAAGTCATGATCTGTTCGCAGAAGAGTCACTAACAGAAACAAGGGCAAAATGTGACTGATAATTTTCCACGATTAATAGTTTGATCAGTTCTAATTACATTACAGCATGCCAAATATATAGCAGTGGATCTTGCTTGAACTAATAATTTGCCTTAATTTCATTATTATTCATTTCGTTCAAATTGGCTGATATCTGTGTGGAACAGCTTGGCAAAATTCAGTCATTTGCAGTCCTGTTATTACTGTTCTGTCTCTCTGTGGTGCAGTATAATCAACCATGCACAAGGTTATAGAATGGCGTATAATCAGCAACCGCCCAGTGCAGGGTAGATAATCTTTATACTGTGAGCTAAATTTTGGTGTCACTTGGTCTTTTGCATGTAATTCTACTTTTTAACTGACTCCCCTTTACCAGCTGAATGTCAGCAAAAATCCTCTATTGAAGAAGGGTTGTTGGCATCATGGTACGGTAATTTGGATTACATTATTATATTTTACCTTCAGCTGCCTACACTGGGGGACTGGGAAGGGGTTATTATTGTGCCATTTTAACTAGCTTATCTGGTTGGTTGCCTTTAAATAAGATGCCTGCTTCATATTTCAAATAGCATTTGTAAAAGCTGTTGTTTTTTTTTTCTTTTCCTGCATTGAAGATACCAGGAATGAGGAAGAGAAAATGTAAATCTTACAAAACAGGCTTTCGGTATCCTCTCAGCCAGAAGGCTGGAGGCTGGTCTGAATAAAACTAGCTGGTTTTTTTACAGTTGCTGTTTGCTGGTATTAGCCTGCCCGTCTGCTGGGGTCCTTTGCAAAATTATCAGTTTATCCACATGTCAGAACATTGACTTCCAACAACAGCTCTGTTTGAGGAACTGACTGCCTACTGGAAGTGTTTCAGAACTTTTCATCGCCTAATGATCATTACATGATGAATAGCAAAGGACTGGTGAAATAGCTTTGCTTGTAAGATGACATTGTAGCTTCCTTTTTTTCTGATCCTTTTTGTCTTTTTTTATCTCTCTTCCTTCAATGCTGCTTTTTCTAGTCTTTCCCATGTTAATCTCTCCTCTGCTTCCTTGACATCACAATTTTGCCTTGCCTCCCTTCTGTTTTCACCATACCAACTGTAACTCTAATATCTTCCCTTTTTATCTTTTTCTGGTTTTCTATTTTTATTTCCTTTTCCCTTTAATGTTCTTCTTCCCCTGACTGCAGTTTAGGCCTTTCAGGTTTGGGTTTTTTCCCCTGTGTTTCCTCAAGTGTCATACTCACCTTCATGTTCTTCTGAGCTTTTTCTGCTTTGAAGTGAATGAGGGTTTCTTCATGTTTCTTCTTGTCAGCCTGCGGTGAGGAAGGGACGGCAGCAGGTTCAGCCAGTTAGTCAGGCCAGAAAAGCTGAAGCAGAGGGATGCATTTCATTACAAGTGAAATTCATAGCTGAAGGGGTGGTGTGAGTAGCTGGAAAATGGAAGAAGCACAGCGCATGGAAGATTTCTCTGTACCTGGGTGAGGAAGCACAGCTGCGTGGACACTATGACTGAGTGGATTTGCACGCTGTGTTACCTGTCTGCATGCGATTCTCTGGTCAGGTGGAGGGTTGACCTCTGCTTCACGTAGCATTTCGCAACAGTCAAGGGGATAAAAAATCTGTGTTGTAAAACAATATTGTTATAACAGATTGTACCGCCTGGAGCAGCGTAGGTGACTGAATGCTTTCTTTTAACAGTGGTTTTCTAGGGAAATGTCCCAAAGTACTGCTTTTAGTGGAAGTAACATAGAAACAGTAGAGATTAAGGTAGGCACGCAAGGCTGGGAGGCTGCTGGAAAAATACTGCTGTGGCCAAGTAAAACACTGGACAACAACACATGTGCACAAGAGGATTGGATTAAAGTTACCTGAAACTCACATATGGGTTTGTGGTCTACAAATGCATGCTCAGTTTTCACCCACTGAAAATATTCTCCTTCAGTTTTGTGAGAGCACCCATGAGCAGAAAGCTAAGATTATATGTTAGTATTAGCGTGTCTGGGACTCTACTTCCTACAAGGCAATATGATATACTGTTGTTTCCTGACACAAATTTAACTGTATTATGTGCACTTGAACTTGTAATATACACACAGCCTACATACAGGACAATTCAACTTATACTTGTAATATGTGGTTGCAGAAATACAGATACTGTCTCTGTGTCAGCAGTGAAATGTATCTTGGATGCCGTCAAGCAAAGCTATTCTTAAACCACTCCAAATATATATTGGAAAATCTAGAAAAGTGAATATCAAGATTTTATTAAAACCCTTAAAATAATGGTCTGTACAATGGAGTAATGGATGAATGCTTTTGTCTGGAAGAGGAAGAGCAACCAGCCACGAGGAAGTCACGTCGGACTGTGATGTTTGCCCATCTTTGGCAAACATCTGGAGAGAGCCCTGATGATCACAGACAGAGGCCTCTCTCACAAGGCCTGATGGTCTTGCACAGAGGATAGGATATCCTCCCTCAGATGAACTCATCCGTAATCTATGCAAATAAATGGTACTGAGAGTGGACTGCCATCTTTACATGGCAATCGAGCTTACTTGTTCCCCACTTACAGGCTTCCTGTTAACCAAATTCTGGGCTATGTTTGTTTTATCACTAACTCTGGTCTTTTGAGAAGTCTTTTGAGCCTTTGTGGAAATCAGGAGGTGAATGGATACAATCCTGCTGGGCCTAGGCGAGGGACGGAGAGACCTCTGACTGTGACTGCAACATACGACGTAGGGGCAGGCGGTAGTGAAAGTGCTGAAGATCTGCTGAACTCATGCTTGCCTTCTTTTGGTAAATCTACACCTAGGCAGATAACAGATGGAGAGAAACAGCTTTTGAATTCTCTCAATTGCAAATATTTTTTCCTCTTTGCAGGAGGAAGGTAAATCCTTTGTCTTCATTACCAGCACACTGAAGAAGATAACAATTCAATACTTTAGTATTGAACCAGTGCAATGCTCCCAAGGAGTATTGTTGGCAGGCAGATTTGTTGCAAAGTAGCAGTACTTGTAGAGCATCACTGCAGGTCTGAAGACTGAGGGCCAGGAGGGAGGACTGGGGTTTAGGGAAGCAAGACAGAATAGTTTGTGAAATACTGAGGGAAGTATTATCGTGAACTCTTTCTTCCCTTACTAGCTGTTCACTCCAGTTTGTTAGGGGACCTTATTTCCCCGGATTCCCCCAACACCTTTTCCAACATTCACTAGTCATCCTCACATTGTCCTCAGTACTCCCAAGCCATGTGGTAGAAAGGGAACAGAACCTCTTCCACGCAAGGCCCTTACTTTCCATCCACAGTGCCCCCACCTGATCTCTTCCACAAACTCAGGGTCGTTTTGATATCTCATCAATGCAGAAGGCTAGGCAACGGCCTACCTGATGGAAATTAACTAATAGCACGTATAGCCAAATATCAAGACTGTGAGCAGCTGAAAGCAGGGGTGAGGTGAGAGGATTTACTCTAGCAGCAACTGGTAGCATCTCCATGTGGGTAAAGGGTGGACTCGGCAGTAGGCACCAACCAGACATGAGCTGCCCTGGGCAAACACTTTTCATGTGTTTTAAACAAGTTCTGAAACTGAAGTGCTGGAAAGCACTAGAAACTCCCAATTATGTTTATGATGATCAGTCAACATAATGTTTAGTGTCATTCTTATCTAAAATCCTTATCATTCTTAGCTTATCTTGGTTGACAAGTGTACTTTTCCTGGACACTGAGCAATATTTGAAGCTACAGAAGCGTAACTAAAGTAAGATGTGACTTGGAAACATAGATACCAAATTACAGAGGTACTTAGCGCGAGGAGTGAAAACTGGACACTACTGTAAAGAAATCCATGTTGTTCTACATATTTCTTTTTAGTTAGCTAAAAGTTATTCCATTTGTAACAACCCTTTAAAGCAGCGGCATTTGTTCTATCTTACACATGGAGCAAAGCAGAAAAATTGAAACAAAATGTGTTCTGTGACCTTCTTTAAACTATGTAATACGAAGTTCCCATTCTGCTTACACATCTAAGCAAGTGCGGAACTTCAGATACCGTGAGTCATCCTGTCCAGCCCACTTTCTAGAGGTTATTCATGTGCATGAGCTTTGTCACATGGAGCCAGCTTCTTAGTTTTTGTGGTGAGACACAGAGTGAAAAAGATCATTACAACAGACCTGAAAATACAGCTAATATGCGTGTAAACGTACATATGCATCATACTTACTCATAAGTGTACTCATAAGAGTGGCTGAGCCACTCTCCATCATCTGCTGAGCCACTCTCCATCATCTTTGACAGGTCCTGGAGGACAGGAGAGGTGCCCGAGGACTGGAGAAAGGCCAATGTCACTCCAATCTTCAAAAAGGGCAAGAAGGAGGACCCAGGGAACTACAGGCCAGTCAGCCTCACCTCCATGCAGGGAAAGGTGATGGAGCAGCTTATCCTGGAGGCCATCATCAAGCAAGTGGAAGAAAAGAAGGTTATCAGGAGTAGTCAGCATGGATTCACCAAGGGGAAATCATGCCTGACCAATCTGATAGCTTTCTACGATGACATGACTGGCTGGGTAGACGAAGGGAGAGCCGTGGATGTTATCTACCTTGACTTCAGCAAGGCTTTCGACACAGTCTCCCATGATATCCTCCTGGGGAAGCTGAGGAAGTGTGGGCTGGATGAGTGGTCGGTGAAGTGGATAGAGAACTGGCTGAATGGCAGAACTCAGAGGGTTGTCATCAGCGGCGCTGAGTCTAGTTGGAGGCTGGTGACAAGTGGTGTCCCTCAGGGGTCAGTACTGGGCCCAGTCTTGTTTAACTTCTTCATCAACGACCTGGATGAAGAGTTAGAATGTACCCTCAGCAAGTTTGCTGATGACACCAAACTGGGAGGTGTGGTAGATACACCAGAAGGCTGTGCTGCCGTTCAGCATGACCTGGATAGGCTGGAAAG